CTAAGAGTGATCAGTATCAAATTTCGCCTTGTAATATCAGTGTTTTGTGAAACAGAGTGGTCACGAGATTTACAGACATGATCACACAAGATGAATTTGCTTGATATTTTATCAACTTCTCCCCACTACTTCGGTAGGAAATGAATTGGGACATCAAATGAAAATTCAAATTTTGATCTTAGGATTTAAAGAGTTAAGAAGACAAAAGGAAGCTTTGCTCGCAAGGAACTGGGAAACCACACCCACTACTTAGCAGAAGCATGAACTTTGGGTAAAATCAGTTTACTCATCACTTTGTATTTTTTTCTTTCAACTTTTCAGTTAACCATTTTTCAGTTCAAAGTTATAACCGATGGTGGAACGACTTACTATTCCTCAGACGGCCAAGCAAGTCATAGGTCAGTTTTCTTAGAAAGTGTTCTTTCGTGAAAAAGAGATTCCCACTTTTGAGTGGTTGAAAGTTTATTGGGGCGAGAGAATTCGTTTGAGCAAGCTGTCCTGGGGAATCAGTAGGGTAGAAAGAGTTGGAAAGGCCTGGGGCCCGTTTCTCGAAAGTCCGGACGGACAATTAACGGGCCGGCCCGGAAAGCTGTTTTTGTTTACACAGAAAACTGATAAAACTATCAGTTAACAAACAAAATGGACTGGTTTCTTAGCTAGGAACGGCTCTTGTTTTCTTTAGATTTGATTTGAATACTTGATTTTGGATTTGAAACGTCACGGACACTTTCGAGAAATAGGCCCCAGGAGTGGGTTCCCCGCCGTCCCCACCCATTCCGCTTTGGGACAAAAGAGTGGAAACTCTTCGGTTGTGTAGCAACGTTTGTTTTGTTCCCGTTTCACAGCGGGTCATACCTCCATCCTACTGTCATGAAACACTGCTCCCGTGCATATCTTGCCGTAATAGCACACTTTGGCACATTTTGAAGTTGTATGTTCCACAGCGTAAATTTAATGTTACAGTTTTTGTAGAAGTAACTTATACAAGATTTATAACTGGTTGCGGCTATCTATCTTTTTTCTTTGAAGAGAAGAAAACGGATTTCAACTTCAAAAAAGTTAGGCTAACTTAAAGTGATGTGCCGACTGCTTTTCCTATATTTCAACTGCGTAGATAATGTGCAAGAAGAAATGTGATATTGATCTTATTTCCTTCCGCAGAACCTGGAAAGACCTTTATAAATTTACGGGAGTACCGTGGTCTCAAAGAGTACAGATATTTTCGCAGTTTCTACTAGGAGAATACTCGTTTTCCAGAAAAATCAAGATGAAACGTGCCGACACATTTGTTTAGGATCGTGAAACCTTCGTGAAAAGACTTTTTATGCATTTAGCTTTTTCAGTGGTCAATAGTTGACCTTGATGCGAGGAAAGGTGAAACGAGTTGGAAAAGCCGAGGGTGCAGAACGCTGTACAAGAAACGAAGTTCAACGTTGTCTCACTGAAGTTTATAAACAGGCTCTGGTTGAGCCAGGGGAAAAATTACTACAATATCCGTCTCTGACGGATACATTCTAAGACGGGTTATCTGTCTCTAGAATTTTCTAGTGTCTTTGATGTCTGTTGGCGCTGATCTCGCGATGTATATAATCAGTATCGTACACACGACAGGTTATTCAGACATTATGATTTGATCGGGAAAAGAAACTTTTCTAGATGGTCCACGAAAAAGGATGGACAGTTAAAGAAAGAGTATAGATTTAAGAAGTGTACGTTTACTGTAGTTATCAGTAAGGGGCCTTAAATTGATATCTGTACTTGGTCAAACGATTCATTCCCAGGCGGTAATGTCAGAGGTGTTATCCACGAGGTAAAAAAAGGGTTGGAAATAAAGTTTGGTGATTTGTTTTGTGCGAGCTTTAGCGGGTCTATGATAGCTTCAGAGCGTTAAAACTGTTTTCTAAATTAAACAGAAGTCAAAACCAAACAAAAACGCAATCTATTACATTTACAAAAAGGTAAGACAGTATATAATAAGCTTAAGATGATAAGAAAACTTGTTATTGAAGTAGTACTTAAGGAGCTTACAAATCATTCATGGTGTACTAAAGGATTGCTGTCTCTTTGTTTTCATTTGGCTTTCCATAGTTACTGCGTATAACGGGCAAAAAAGGAACCACTCAAAGCGTTACTTATAGTAGTAAATTCAAGTTTAGTTTCAAGACTCTTGGCGTTTGTTGTTGCGGTGTATTTTTTGCCTCATCCAAGCTCTCCCAAGGCTTAGTGGAGAGCACAAACTTTTAACGCGGGGTGCTGGAGACGAGCGAGATGCGCGAGCTTAGGATGATGGGAACGAACCCAGAGCACGAGCGGGGGATGATGGGAAATAAAGCCTGCGAGATCCTGTATCGCTTTTCCCCCTTCCCATCACTCCCTTTGCCCTCGCTTTCCTTATTGATTAACTCAAATACCCTTCGCCCCGCCCCCCAAACAGAAAAAAAGTGATTGCGAGCGACTGGGAACGAGGCAGGTATATTCTGGACTAACTGCAAGAAAAGTGTATGGAGCCCGTGTCTCTAAAGTCCGATGTTTTGAACATATTTTGTTCAGCCCTGAAGTCTGAGCTTCAAACAAAAATATCGGGAATTAACGAATGTGACATTTTGAAATTATTGGACGGTTGTTGCCTGCGTGCAGACGTCTCCTATTTCCTTTGTTGCACGCGGAAAAGGGACGTCTGCGTAACGCCGTCGCTAATCGTGTTCCAGCGTCCCACTGGCAGGGTATTCTATTTCGCATAAATTGTGAAATAATATCCGGTTAGAAATAAGAGTTGACAGGCCAAACAAAACATCATAAGCTCGTGATACGGGCGAAACGTGACCTTGAGAGTCTGCTTGAACAGAGGTTCTTCTTCTTTTCTCTCTCGCGCGAAGATTACTAGCACTACACAGTGCATGTAGCATTCTAACCTTTGACTGAGTAAACAGGGGCGGATCTAGGGGGAGGGTGCAGGGGGTGCGCACCCCCCCCCCCGAGATGACCTGCGGTTTTCTAATACAACTGGTATTCTGCAAAAAAAAAAAAAACTATGTGGTTTATTGGTGTTGAAGTAGAGTAAGAGACGAGTGCACCCCCTTCTAAAAAAAATACTGGATCCGCCCCTGGTAAATCTCATTTTTGCCGCGCTAAGTCTTCCATTTAGAGGTCATGAAGCAGGTTTGTTACATGCATACTGAGTAATCATTTCCTGTGGTTTATGCTTCTGTGGGTGTTCCCGATAGAATTTGATTTCAGATGCAGTTGTAAAGTGTTTAAATTTTCTTGACCTCTGTTTGTTACGGCTAAATAAAGATTTAGTTTCTTTGGCTGGCTTTCTCCGAAATGCCTGCCTGGTGCGAAGTCTACGCCGCTTTTGTAGTTTTCTCAGACACTGTTTACAAATATGATGTCATGTGTCATGCACAGTAAATTATAAAGAAATAATTTCCTCGTACATGTTAAATTTTCCGCGTCCCCGTACAAGATTTCGATCGCTCTGCTTTTCGATCGACGAAAAACACAGCACACAATCGCACATGTTTTGATTTGTTTTGGTTAGAAAACCCCGCTTACATAAATCATTTAAATCACCGCATACATTATCAGACCACATTCGATAACAACCAATCAGCGTTAAGTCAAACAATGCGCACTGTGTGTCAGCCTATCACAGCGTGTTCCCAAGATCTTGGGAACCCAGCAGGACGCTGGAACACGATTAGCGACGGCGTTACGCAGACGTCCCTTTTCCGCGTGCAACAAAGGAAATAGGAGACGTCTGCACGCAGGCAAGACGGTTGAGGCTGAGTATGACCTGAATAATTATACAGTTCGAGGAGGGTTTTATCGCCGAGGCTGAAGACTGGGGCGGAAAACACCTTTCGATATCTTCATAATTTTTCAGATTATACGAAAGGCGAATGCATTATTATCTTTTATTCAAAATAGATAATTCATACCTTTGAGAGATACTTACCTCGATCAATATTAGTTCCCATCTTCATTTGCTTGTTCCTCAGCAAATTCAGGATTTGTCATCCGTCGAGTTGTATTCTTTTCCGCCATTTTCTTCAGCTCTACCAAAAAAGCTGAGCTAACGCAACTTCGTTCCCAGGATTTCTCTTTTGCCGTCCCTGTTTCTGACCATATCCTGTTATTTTGACGTCATTTTCCTGTATATTGCAAACATCTTCCAAATTTGGTGAACGCTTGCTGGTTACGAATGATTAATTAGTCGAGAGACTTTGAGCCAATCAGAAACAAAGAAATATTTTGATTGATTAATTGATATTTTTTGACATGATCTTCTCTTCGACGTAAGGATCAGTTTGCTTCTCAGGGGCACCCAACGGCAATTTTCGGGAAAATATCTGTTCGGAAGACGATTTGAGATCTAGAATTTTCGGAGCATTTGTTGTAAAATTTCTTGCTTGCCTGCCTCTCCTAGGATTTTCGAACATATACAAAATGGTATAATTACCCATTTTTAACGTATTTTGAGCCTAAAAAAGGCCACCTAGAATTTTCGGGAGTCTTTTTCCTGGCTGAAATTTTCGAGAAGGTAAGTTTTTATCCCTATAATTTTCGGATCACTAGACTTTCAGCTAGGAAATCCGAACAGATGAAAAGTTTTTAGCGGATAAAAATATGCCTATATCTACCGTTTGAATACCAAAATACGTTCAACAATTTGCTATGTTAAGTGGTTTTTAACTATATCCTCGTTGGGTGCCCCTGGCTTCTGTGTTTCTTCATTTGTGAATTGGGCCTCCGACCACCCAAACTCAGGAAAAGTATTTTTTGTTAAAAGCCTTAGACATACAGCTGTCATGGACACTGAATGAAAGCTCTCCTTTAATAAACACTACGCCCGAATACACTCCATGTTCAAACATACGTCGGATCCAGCGGGCTTACCAGAGAGAAATAAGCCCTGGGTATCCTGTGCGGATTTCCTGGTGGGGGTTGTGCTTCATATAACTTCATTGAAAGATCTCTTATTTGGTTTCCAAACAACTGCAAACAAATATGGCGGATGATGAAGATGGTAAAGACACTTTGAGGCAGTTCGTAGAGAATGAGTGTAAAGCGCAAGCCCTCAGAGTGAGTTGATTTTGAAATTTATTGGGCTTAAAATATTGCTTCTGTGAAATGCACTACGATGTTCATGCTATGTTTGCTTAAAGTTTTTGATGTAAACGTAAAAAACTAAGGTTTGCTTGTACGTGTAAGATGTTTGTTATCGGTTTTAACGGCTGTGGAAAAAAAAATTCTGTTCTGGGAAAGGGGTGCCCTTAAAGATCATGAGTAGAAGTTCCTTTTAATAAACCCTGGCTAGCTATGTCTTGTTACGTGCGCATGTAAAAACACTAAACATGTACAGTTTCCCCTCCTTTTTAGCCACCCGGTACAAACTCTGATGATACAGCCTTAGATGCCGAGAGAATGAACAGATTTTACCAGCGTGCTCTGAATGAGAGTGAAAGGTACGTAGTAAACCCCAGGAGGGGTACTCCGGATTTCAAGGAACGGGATGATCGAATTGGGGCAAAAATGAAACCCAAAAAAATCCCGAGGACTTCCAACAAAACCCAAACAAACCCCTAGACCAAAAATAAACCTGAAAAAAAATCCCATGCATTAGAAGTTAAGTGTTTGTGTTTGTTCATTCAAAGATTGCTTTGAATACCCCCAAAATTCCCTTTTTAAATCAAACCACCCTAACGAAAACCTTGCCAGATTTTCCGACCCAAAAAATCCCAGAATCAAAAATTTCATAACCACCACATACAGGCGAAGCTTGTGACCTCTGGTCTTGGTTAAAACTTTGTCTGCAATATTCCTTGCCAATTATCTACATTTGGGTCTTTGAAAATGCCCTATACCTAAGACTTTACTTATGCACAAAGGATATTTCCCTTATCTGCAGCCTGGTTGACATCCACAAACTTAATTAATCTTAGATAGATCCAATTAGACTTTAGGAGGACCCATTAAAGGCAGCCCAGTATTATAAAAATGGCTGTTGTAGCTGTCATTTTTTTACTGTTGCAAGTCATTGGAGACCAAAGAAACTAAGGTGTACCTCACTCCCCCTCCCCTCACCGACCCCAACCGCAACTGCAACCCCCGACTCCCAAGAAAAAAAAATTAAACTTTTTTAAAACAAAATATATGTGTAGCAGCATTGTGTTGTTAAGCAAGACTGTAGCCTAAAAGCAGGTTCTTAAAATTCTTATTAGAGGAAAGGGAAGAGATGTTAAGAGAGAGATAGAAAGAGAGAAATAGTGAACAAGAACAACAACAATCTATTATCTTTTTTCCGGACCATTTAACAAAAAAAAATATTTTCAAGCTATAAACTTTAATCCACTCCATTATTTCTGCTCTTTTGGTCTTTTCTCTTAATCAAAGCACTCTTTTCCTGTTCCCAGCATTTTACGCCTTCCATGTAAGGAATAAAAGCCTTTTTTCTTTTATTAGAATGAGCAATGAAGTCACAAAATCTCAAAAACAACGAAGTGAACTTCACAAAGAGCTTAGTAAAGATATGCTTGAGAGCTGGACACAAGATCATGCTCAGGAGGTTCTCTGTCCTCAGACATATGAACTTTGGAGTAAAGAGGAGGAAAAAGCTAAAAAGGTTTTACAGGAGCTAGAAAAAGCCTCCATAAATGACGATGAAAGTAGTGATGATGCATCTCACTAAAGAAATGACTCAAGTTTTAGGCTTGAAGGTAAACACTTGAGAGTTTCCTGTATTTTTACAGAAAGGAGTTGATGTTTTGCATTCCGGACAAATAATAGTGTTACAGAAGTGTTAATTAACTCCCTCGAGAACATTTTTAGTATAAACAGGACAGATACAACCATAAGGCATCGGAAATGAACTAGTAGACTAGGGGCCATACTAAGTTATTCTACTCACAGTCAAAGTTTTAATGAACTTCAGTGTACAGAACTAAGCTGTTTACAGAGTACAGATTAGATCGAGATTTCAAAACCTAGAAACACATGAGACTTCTCTTCAACAGGGGATACAACATTTATCCAAATCTGTTGAAGTCTCTGAAATAGAGATGCCATAAACTGAGGATATTTTTAAATGCTGGAAGTTTACTAGCAGCTCATCAATGTTTGAAGGATAGCCATGTATTTATAAGTAGTAATGTTGTGTTTTGTGTGGGTGCCCTGTGGTTCAGGTACCCATTTTATTTCCATATCTGCAGGCTGCAGACCTTTTCTGCTTCCAAACATGACATGACCCTCAGATCTTAAAACTTTAGTTCTGAAGCATTGTTAAATAAAATACCTTGAAGACCACTGCATTCAAAATTCATGTCTCTTTTCCCAAAAATCACCGTACTCAATAATCTACAATCATTGACAAAAAGTGTTATGAACTTTCAACTTCCTTACCCGCAGAAAACCTATACCATGGATTTGGTACAGCTATGCCCCCTCCACTCACCCTTGAATGGTCATTGTTGTTCAGTCAGGGTCAGAAATGATCGAGCTGTCAAAAGTTGGATAGCACTATCCAGCGGATAAATCACTATCCAGCGCCGGGATAAGTGGTTACATAAAGCAATTGCAATATCCACTGGACAAAGATTTATCCAGTGGATAGCACTATCCACCTTTTGAACAACTGGGGCCTGGACTTTAACATTGCTTTTTTTTTGGGGGGGGGGTGGGGTGGAGGGAAGGGGGAAGTATTTGTAGCTGCTGGTAGCTGACGGTGCTTTTAAGAACATTATCTTAAAACTAGACATAGCAATGTTCATTTCCCTTGACACTTTTGTCCAAGATTGTAGCCAGCAGCACAGCTTCACAAAGCATAACCTGTTTTTAAATCTTATATGTAATGCTATAATTTATTATAGCTCATGCTTACTCTTTATGTAGCCGCCCCGCAGACGTCCTTTGGGGTTCGTTTATGTTGTTGCATCTAAGTTTGTTCTTCCTGAGATGACAATAATTTTGGCACATAAGAGTTAACATGACTTTTTGCAAGGAGACCCATCCCACAGGGTTTATTACGCCTTTCTGTAAGAAAGTTCAGTTAATACACAAATGATTAAAAACAGCGTTTATTGTATCAACTATTCTTTTTTTATATTATTTATCTTTTAACTGCAAAAATATAATTTAACTTTAACTTCAAATAACTCCATGGAGCCAAAAAGTACAAAGGTAAAAAATTTTACAAACAATTATGGTGTAATTATGTTTAGTAGCTTATGCTTTAAGAGGATGTATGTGATAGCACGTTCTTTTCAGCGAAATTTAGAACAAATTCTAAGTTAAGAGAAGATGTATCAAATAACCATTCCTGTCATCATGGTTACATTTTTTGGTCAGCGGTTGAGAAAGCCAATGGTGAATGCCTGCGCATTGTGATACAACGTCGCTTATTCTCGCCTGAATCGCTGAGTTTTGGGATTATTTCTCATCTAATTCTAATTTAAGTTATTATTGAGAATCTTGGTTCATGGCTGTTCTCTTATTGCTCAGTTAAATTGTAGACGAGAATTTTTAGAGCGTTCTGAACATAGTGTTATTAAATATTTTTTTATAAAACATTTAGAAAATAACAATATGTACACCATAAAAATTAATAAATGAGTAACTACACTAAAGTTTCCATCTCACTTTCGGGGTCATTAACAGATGAATCTCGCTTTGTGTGCCCGTTACTTTCTCGGCATTCGTGGTTTTCAGGTGTTTTGAATCCGAGTGAGAAATTAAAAAAACTATCCCTGCGAAACGACGATTTCTGTATCAGGCTGTTTTCAGCTTGTCGTTTAAGCTTGGCTAGATGCAACAATTCTCTTTTGTGTTTTTGCCTCAACACGTATATACGGCGCGAACAGTTGATCTTGAATATGGTGACGATTTTAGACATCTCTGACTTCAGCTCGGCTTTGTTGCGCATCAACTCCACTGTTCTTGGAAGCGGCTGATCTTTAGCTGCAATTAAGGTTTCATTTCATTTCATTTATTTCTTTATCAAGGTGTTAAGACTTCATATATAACTCGAGAGAAAAACTAAACGCAGTAAACGAGACGAGACCAGTTAAATTTCGTAAGTTTTCGATAGGGAAATTCAGATTTTCCGATTTTCCTATAAATCAAGAAATTTGGATCCGTCATGGATTAGGGCGTAGCTTCGGTGAAATCCAAGTTTTTATTTCCCCTTTTAGGAGATAAGAAATCAGATTAGCAAAAAGTAATGTAGGTTTAAAAGTCTTTAAAAGGGTTTAATAAACACCTTTTTGAAAAAAGAGAAAACCTTTTTTCGGCAAGCAATCTTAGTTAACATACTCAATTACGTCTAAATGCATTTTACTTAATCACCTAGAGTACTTATCAGTCACTAGTTTCGTCACCAAAATATATTTAGTCGAGTTCAATAATAATAATCAATTTTGCCTAACCGTTTTATTTTTCATTATCCACTATTAAAAAATATTTTAAGCAATTAATATTCCCAGCTTTATTAGTTAGCTCAATTTTAAAATTGAATTGTAATCTTAGTAAAGATATGCTTGAGAGCTGGACACAAGATCATGCTCAGGAGGTTCTCTGTCCTCAGACATATGAACTTTGGAGTAAAGAGGAGGAAAAAGCTAAAAAGGTTTTACAGGAGCTAGAAAAAGCCTCAGTAAATGACGATGAAAGTAGCGATGATGCATCTCACTAAAGAAATGACTCAAGTTTTAGGCTTGAAGGTAAACACTTGAGAGTGTCCTGTATTTTTCCAGAAAGGAGTTGATGTTTTGCATTCGGGGCAAGTAATAGTGTTACAAAAGTGTTAATTAACTCCCTTGAGAACATTTTTAGTGTAAACGGGACAGATACAACCATAAGGCATCAGAAATGAACTAGTAGACTAGGGGCCATGCTAAGTTATTTCACTCACAGTCAAAGTTAAGTGAACTTCAGTGTACAGAACTAAGCTGTTTACAGAGTACAGATTAAACAGAGATTTCAAAACCCGGTAACACATGAGACTTCTCTTCAACAGGGGATACAACATGTATCCAAATCTGTTGAAGTCTCTGACATGGAGATGCTGTAAACTGAAGATATTTTTAAATGCTGGAAGTTTACTAGCAGCTCATCAATGTTTGAAGGATGGCCATGTATTTATAAGTAATGTTGTATTTTGTGTGGGTGCCCTGTGGTTCAGGTACCCATTTTATTTCTTTATCTGCAGACTGCAGACCTTTTCTGCTTCCAAACATGACATGACCCTCAGATCTTACAACTTTAGTTCTGAAGCATTGTTAAATAGAGTACCTTGAAGACCACCGCATTCAAAATTCTGTCTCTTTCCCTAAACTTCACAGTACTCAATAATCTACCATCTTTGAAAAAAAGTGTTATGAACTTTCAACTTTCTTACCTGCAGAACACCTATACCATGGATTTGGTACAGCTATGCCCCCTCCACTCACCCTTGAATGGTCATTGTTGTTCAGTCAGGGTCAGAAATGATCGAGCTGGCCCAGGTTGTTCAAACGTTGGATAGCACTATCCAGCAGATAGTGCACTATCCAGTGCCGGGATAAGTGGTTACATAAAGCAATTGCAATATCCACTGGACAAAGATTTACCCAGTGGCTAGCACTATCCACCTTTTGAACAACCGGGCCTGGACTTTAACATTGCTTTTTTTTTTTTGGGGGGGGGGGGGGGGGGGGGGGG